TGATGTAAAAAGGTAAGAACGAGGTGCCTTTTTTCTGCTCTGGCATAATGGAAGGGAAAGGAAAATTTGTTGCCATATATTAAGAAGTTCACCAAGTGAATTATTCTAGACGCTAATTGAAAAAATTGCTGCAAGATAATTTTTGAATTTCTCTATAAATATCGCACCAAATTTTACAAAATTTAATATCTAGACATAATTTGAGTTGTAAAATCGGAATATGAAAAAAAATTGGTATTATATTTCAGGAAAAGTCCAATTTTTTACCAAAATACCTATTTTATAACAATGCTATTTATAAATGTATGTCCTAAGTTGCACTTTTGAGACATGAAAAACGCAGTTTGAATTTTGTTAATCTGGTCAGTAGAACAGGAGATATATAACTGTCCCCCCTTTTTTTTCCCCGAAGTGTATCGTACATTTTTCCCCAGCAGAATTTAAGTACTCAAAGAAAAAGGTCTCACAATGACCTTGTTGAGAGTTTTCATTTCTATAAACTTAATAACAATTCAAAGTTTAACTTCTAATACTCTCAGTTTCCTAATTCAGTCTCATTATTCAAATCAAAGTTTTAAATTCCTTGCTTGGTGTTTATTACATACATCTTCTGGATCTTGAGAACATCATACAAAGTCTGGTCCTTTCAAAATATCTGGAAGGAAGAAAGATTAATACTTTGAAAAATTTCCAAATTTCCTTCAAAATTACATTTATTTGCCCTCAAACAGATTTCATTCACTCACATCTTAACTCATTTCGACCCACGCTCTTCAGAAATTTGTTGTTATGAAATGAGCGTGTCCGTATTGTGTTATTATGAACAACAATACCAACTAACCATCTGGCTAACAAAAATTAAATCTAGACACACTAGACTTCAACTGACACCTTAATATCAATACTACACCTAGTATGCTACACTCGCGAAAAAGTTTTAAACTTTTGTGTGGCTGGAGGGCGTAACTTAAACACACACTCTTACTTACTTTCTCTCCAATCGTTCATTTAAACAAAGTTTTCACATCTTGCATTTAAACAAAGTTTAAACTTTAAAGCACTTTTACAATCATAATGTAAAATTTTACTTTCAGCACAAACATTTTTACACATTTAACATATAAAATTTTAAATTCATTTTACATCACAGAGTACACAATTGCTGTATATAGTTTACAATCTTTTACAATTTAATTTTAAATTCTAGTTTACAATAATTTTCATTGTAAATTCAAGTCTTTCCAACTAAAACATACAGTACAAAGTTCGAAATCTGCACGTCCATTATCCGAAATGATCTAAAATTCGGACATCAAAACCACCAACAACGTTCTTCTCATAGCCTTTATGCATGCATATTTGATTCTCCCCTCTGTGCATAATAAAACATCTGGAGAGTCCTGATTCTTAATTTCACTTCGACACTAAATAAAGTACCTCATTATTCAAGAAACAATCATTTTAGCATAAATTTGTACAGTCAGTAATTTGGCTTCATTGCTGCATATCTGCTTGGCACACATCTCAAACCCAAACATTCCACATTGCTGATCTAATGCCAAACTGGTGAATCATTATTTAGTATACTTTCCTTTCATCGCCGCATGTTTATCATTACATGACAAGTAATGACTCATGTAGCAATGCCTAAACAACTTTTTTATGTTAGCAGTTGAATAATAAAGGAGTATGGTAACCTTTTATGTTGACATTACGCTTGGCGATGATAACAGATTTAAGAAAAATGCGTTAAAAATGTTGATGAGGAAAAATTTAACAAAAATTTCTTTCCATATGCTAAAAATAGATTTTGTTGATACTCATAAACCCAAAGATTACATTTAGGGATATTTTAATTAAGAATAACTGATTTGGGATTCACATAAACCCAGAACCAGCGCCAGGGCTCGCATTGCCACACCGAGTCGCAGAATTTAGGGCCCACAAAGACTGCATCAGGCAGTAAGATATCTAGTGCCAGCTCAAGTATATGTGGGAATTTATTTATTCAGAACTCTGATAAGTGTTAAGCATGTGCAAGAAATAGACGTAAATATAATAAATAACTAAAGTAATTCAATTCAGGCTTAATTGTCTCAGTGCGTGATAGGAGCAATATGAAATTTAACAGAACAACTTGTTATTAGTCGCTAAGATCATGATGCATATCCAAATATGTATAGTGAAGGATAGCTAAGTTTGTTGATGATAGCAGCTAATTTTAAAGGTTTTCGGACATCGCAAAACAAAGATGAAATTTTCCAATTAACGGATTTTGTAAAGAAATGTGGAGAAGTGGTAATAAATGAAGATGATGTAAAAGAAATTTTTCATTGTGATAACAATGCTTCTCAATCATCAATCAATTAATGAATGGCAAAATCTGTAGTATGGTTCTAGATTCAGAAAATACCATTACCGTTTGTGAAGAATGTGACATAGAAGTTACTGAAAACGAGAAAATTTTGATTGATAAGTTAGTTGGAATTCTCGAAACAGCAGTTACAGGACTTCAACAATGTAATTAAACAAGAGATTATGTCTGTCTACAGAATTAAAGAGAAAGTATTGGCACAAAAAAACAACTTAACAATTTACATTGAAAGAAGAGTTTATTAAAGCAAACAAATAAATAGTAAGCTTTTTTTTTTTTTTTCCTTTTAATTTTAATACCCTTTAGTCATAAAAGTTTTTTTTTTTTTTTTTTTTTTTTGATAAATTGCAATTTCATATTTTTAGTTTTATAATTTCTACATGCCATCTTACTAGATTTAAACTTATGATCTAATATCCTGAAAAATCCCAAATCCAGAATTGCGGAAGTCCCAACGAGTCCGGATATTGGACTTTGTACTGTATATATATGTAAAAAAAATGAAGAATATATAAAAGCATAGGTACATAATTTTATGACTAAGACCAGATCCTAAGAGGAAAACTGCTTTTACCTAAGAGGACTATTATACCTTAGAGGAAAACTGATTCAGTCATATGTATAATGAATAAATACGGAATGGTTAAAGAACATAATACTAGATAAAGTGCATAAGGAATTGAAGATTGAAAAGGAAAGAATATAAGTCTGCACAAAATTTATTACTGTGTTTCAAGATAGTTGTAGTGACATCTACAGTGGCTGCATTGTCATTAATACTGCTCAGGTTGTAATTTCATAAATACAGAGTCTGAGAAAAAGACTGCAAATAATTTTTTGCAAATAGCTAAGACAAAAAATAACAGTTGTAGGAGAGGAAAATAAATATAGCACACAACACATCTTTCTCTTATAAATAAGGCTAATAGTATGCACTAAGATTTTTATACAAGCTTATGAGACTGGCTTGATATAAATGGCATACTATGTATTCTGCTCACATTAGTTACTCCGTCATAGTTTTGGCCTCGTCATTTTGAAAAATTAGTTTCATTTGTTTTCAAAATATTAAATGCATGTGAAAATGCAAAATTATTTATATGACCTTGAAACGGTTTAAAAATTTGTAGTAAATAAAGTACTGAAATGCCAAATTTTGTTTATTGGCATATGTATAATGAATTTTTTTAAATCAAAACTATTAGCAAAAATGAAGCAACTTAAACAACTTACATTGAAAGAAATGTTTAGTAAGGTAAACAAATAAATATTGAGCTCTTTTTTTTTATACCCTTTAGATCATAAATGCTTCATTATTTCATCAATCACGATTTCATTTTTAAAATTTCTACATGCCATCTTACTAGATTTAAACTGATGATCTAATATTCGGAAAAATCTGAAATCCGGAATCAACGAGTCTGGATTTCGGACTTTGTACTGTACAGTATACTTTCTCGCAAACTTGCAAACTCAAAATTCTTGCTTTTAACAGCATTTAACACTTCTCATTTAAAAAAAGCACCTTTGAACAAAATGATATAAATTGAACTTGATTTCTAAGTGAGAAAACAAAGAAAATTTTCACTAATTTTTTTGCTTTTTGTAATCATTGATTCTTTCCTAGCAACATTGTTCCCAGCTGGGGCAATTTAGGGTCTGCATTCTCATCTTCCTAGGACGACTTCCATTCTTTCCCAGGAATTCTTTCCTTTTCTTCCATTTGAATGGTGAATTGGGCGGACTTCCTTGTGGGCTAAGGATTCTGGTAAACTGCCCTCTGGTTAGTTTCCTGCAGGTTACTCCTTTTCTCTGAATCATTTAATCTCTTTCTGGACTTCCTTGTCTGCTGCAGCGACGTGGTACCACCTCGGTTGTCCTTTTACCCCTGAGAATTCTTTGTGTTGGATCTCTTCCGACCTTTCTTGGAGTGGTTGTCAATGGTAACAGTGACTGTCTGCTAAGGTTTCCTTCATTGTATCCGGACCCCTCTGAGACTTAGTTAATAGAATGCTTATTTAATAGAAGTTGACAGTGCCATTATAGATAGAATGAAATGTTTTTTTTACCTATTGCAGGTTTATTCAAAATCTTATTGAAAGTATGCCTTAGCAGCTCGATATAGGTGTTATTATCAAAAACTAGCTATCACCACAATACTTTTTAACACTATAAATGTTGAATCCTCCCTGCCCCGCCTATTTAGTGACTTGCTTTCTAATAGTTTGCATTGAAAATTGCAGCATTTTGAATACAGCTAAATGTAGGGTACAGTGTGCCTATTGCATATTTATTTTGAACCCTGTGTTTAATTTTTTTAATATTAATTTTATCTTTTCTTCATTTTATTTGGATAATAAAGTGTTAGTCATGATTGCAAACTATTAGAAAGAAAGTGAATAAATAGGCAGGAGTCAAAAATGCAACATTTATAGTGTTGAAAAGTATTATGGTGATAGCCAACTTTTGGTAATTATGTATTGAGCTGCTAAGGCGTACTTTCAATAAGATTTTGAATAAACCAGTAATAATTTTAAAATTAAAGATGAATTTAACTTTTATTATTATTTTATTTGGGGGCTGGAGGGGATTGCTATAATCTTTGCAAATTTATCTTTTATTTTAGATATTATCTTGTGAAAATAAACTTAACAGTCAAGACAGCAGTGGTTTAGAGCTTCAGGAAGCTTGTTTTAAACTAAAATACCAGCAAGTGGAATGTACTTCTCAGGTATTTCTGTAATATTTTATATTAAATTTATTTATCTTTGAATCATTTGAATTTCTTTTGAATAACAATGTTGTGACTGAATAAGTTACTTTTCTCTTTCAGAATTCCATTATCAAACTACCTCCAAATAAACTAGATATTCAGATTGGTCCAATGAAATGTGAAGTAGATATCTCACTTACTGATCGCATTCGCACTCTGCTGAAATTTCCCAATTTTTTCTCTCAGGTAGATTCCAAAAACAATGAATGGGTATGAATTTTATATATTTATCCTTGCAGAATATTCTATAGTTGAATAAATTCAGAAAATTTCTTTAGCTCTAAACCTAAGGAACCATCATTTAATTTATTTTTAGTTTATAATTTTTTTACATTAATTATTTAAAATTTATTTTATTCTTAATTAAAGCATTTTACTTTAAGTGAAAAGAGCAATTTTTTCTCTCTTAGAATTTATGTATAACAATTTAGTTTTTGAATGTTTATTAGTAACTTGCCCATTATATATTGCATTTCCAACATTGTAACCCTTCAGTGACCAGAATGAAGAACTTATCTCTGAAAAAAAAATTGTGACTCATACAGTCACATGGAATAATCTATGGAATGCGGTTTTCACACCTTTATTTATTTAAAACTTTGCTTGAAAGTGACATAGTCAAGAAGATATCCTCTCTCTTGTAACATTTCAAACCTTAAAAAGGGGAAGGGAAGGAAAACAAAAAACTGAATGCACCAGGCGATACTACTATGAAAAATCAATGTAAAACTCTGTTGGTGGTTTGTATATTTTGGATGGTAGATTCAGTTAATAAATTGTGGTTAAACAGTTTTACTTGCTTCATTAAATATATTGTTATGAAATCTCCTGGAGCGAGGGTTAGGATACCTTCCCTGCAAAGCGGGTGTAGGCTCACCATAAAATGGCAAGGGAAGGCAGGGTTGCCACAGTTGGCGAGAAATTGTCCATTTGGCAACAAACTTGACGATATGTCATAGACAGAGGGAGAACCTTCTGGAATGGATTCTTACTGGTTTAGCCCAGAATGTTCTCGAACACAAGTCAAAAGCTATATAAACCTTGCTGGTATGCAGAGAATCAGTTAGTTAGTCTGTGCAGAGTCCATCAAGTTGATAATCGGTGAGTGTCGAGTGGACCGAAAGAGTCGCTTAGTGTATCGCGGCTAGTGCATCGTCGAGAGAATGTGTTGAGCTCCAGGAACGACTGAACCGAGGAGTCAGGAGCTGTACTCTAGTTTATCATCAAATGTATCGCGAGTTGTAGTGTGGAGAGTCTCGAGAGTATGTGGAGTTCGAGAACGATCAAGCAGAGTCGGGAGCTGTACTCTGGTGCTTTGCTGTGAAGCTGTCTTTACCGTTATAGCCTCATAGTGTGAAGGCTGTGTTGCTGATCGTGTCAGCTTGTTTATTGTAGTTCTTTGATGACTGTGTAAGCATGCTATTGGAGCTGTCCTGAATAATATTGGCCAATAAAGTGTGTTATGATGCTTTATGAAGTGCTGTTGTCCTTATTCACTCCAAATCTGCACAAACCCCTTAACGATCGTACCAAAAGATTTAAAAAACATAATATTAAGTTTAAAAGTGCATTCATCCTTTAAAGATAATAAAAAATCCACTATGTTCTTTTCAGAAAATGTAAATTAAGAAAAGATTATATTTAATTAATGATTTAAAAAAATGTATGATTTTTTAAAGTAGGTAAAAAAAGCAACAGTAATTTGGTATAGGTTTTGAATAAAATTGCAAGGAGGATTTCAAGGAGGATCAAGCAATAAGTCCCTCTTTAGGAGGAGGGGGGATATCTGCAAAAACGAAAGGAGTAATAAACATTTTACATAGAAATAACGAACAGAACTAAACAAAAATGAACGTAAGGCTATAGTTTCTCTAGGCTGTCTGAATTCTGATGAAGAAGTTTTACTTAAAAAAGCAAATATGTGAAGCAGAAACTGCAATTATTGTAAGGAGATAAAGGGATTCTGTTAAATTTTTAAAGGGAAATTTTTATTTAAAATATAAAAGGGAACAAATCAGAAATTTGAATCTACTCAAGGAATTGCTCTTAACATAACTAAATTTCTATCTGTTAACATAACTACATTTTTAGTTTTCATGTTTACCTCCTTATACTTCCAGTTATTTCATTGTAGTGTAAAACCCTAAGATGGTCACATGTAGTCCCATAGAATTTTAATTTTTTGAGAAATTAATATAGAGCAAGGGTTCTCAGCTGGCAAGGAATTCTCTTTAAAAGGGGAAGATTGTTTGACTTCATATCTCCCATCACCTTCAGATGACGCCTGTTAAACCCAAGTTATACCAAAAAGTTGACAGCAAAGATCTAAGATGTGGTTAATATCATTTGGTAAAAATGGGCTGGGAAAAATTACTTTAAAAAATTATGCGAGCATTGCAGAATCAATGAAAATAGGTACTTAAATATTATCACAACCATCTTAACCCAATTTAGTGATTTTTTACAGATGAAAAGTTAAAAGCTACTTAACAGTACAAGTTGGAGATTTTTGTGACATTTTTTATAAAGAGTCCGAAATTATTGATAAACTGCTCAAAACAATTAAAGGGATAATGTAAGTTTTATATAAAATAAAGATATAAGCAAAAATTTTTTGCCCAAAATGGAAGAAGAGAATCACAAATGCAAATTTTTCTGATTTTCAAACTGTGGAGTATGCTAATTTTGAGTTCGACGTCAAAAACGTCGCTTCAGCGGCAGCATATAAAAGTTGACTTTCAACTGACTAAAGACAGGAGATCGCATTCAGTGACTGTTTCGTTTCGATGAGTACGATTCTCGGCGAGTCATTTACCGATTCAGAAACTTGTGATTGTTGGTAGGTAAAGGGGCTAAACTCAAGCCAAGTACGCAAGCCATGTGTGTGCCAAAATGTGATTTCCAGAATCTGGAACCGTTTTTTGGAACGGAAGTGCAGGCGAAGACCGGGCAGGTCGTACGGGCAACAACGCCCAATGAGATCGTTATTTAGTGTTAACGGCGTAGACACCGAAATATGAATCTACTTTCTCCCAACACAATCGGCTACTAGCACACGATTTCAGCTCAGACTGTCTGAAACCGGCTCCATGGGTAGGTCTGTAGCTTGCCAACCGATGGTATTGTTAGCTAACATCAGGCATCGTTGCGACCGCAGGATGGGCAACAGAGCAACTAGGAGAAATGAATGGAACAATTTCTTTTTCTGACAAGTCCCGTTTTTCTTTCACTGATAATAGGCGTATTTTCTCTAGAGGGACCGTGCAGTGGATAATCTGCTTCGTGCAAAAGTATCAATTTGGCGGTGGGGGGTGTGGTGTATGTAGCATCCCATTGACGGGTGCACACTCTAATCATTCAAGATGACTTGACGGGTTGTCGTATAGGGAGGGATCCTCAGACCTATTGTATCCCTTACGCTGCAGCAATCGGAGATAACTTCATTAATGGATAACTGCAGGCCACATTGTGCTAACCTGTGGAGGATTTCCTTTTCGAGGAGGAATCATACGAATGGCCACATGTCTCAGACATGAATCCATATAGCACGTTGGGCCGCCTAGGAAGACGTTGCTGCCGCCAAACCCCCCACAAACTCTCCAAGAACTGGAAGACTCTTCTGGAAGAGTGGACGATACCCAACTCGTGATAAGCCTCATTGACTCCATGCCTCAAATGTTCAACGTTGCTGCCGTCCTAGAAAACCAACCTCTTCTGAATGATTTCCTTTGAAGAAACACCTGCACTAATTCTTTTTTTTATATGCGAAATGTGTGTTTTCCTTTGTACACAAATCGCAAAAAATGCATTTTTTCTGCCAAACAGGTATTTTTCTCTATAATCTACTACGTCTGTCGACCATGTATCAATCAGCTAAAAAGTTTCCCATCCCCAAGATCCACCTAAAACCGCAATAATTATAATTATTGTTTAATTGTTTTGAGCAGTATATTTATCCAAGTTGACAGATATTATCAACATATAAAAAGTCAACATATTTTGATAATTTTAAATACAAATTTTAGGTATTAAATAAGAAATCTGTGATACATTAAAAAGTAAAATACATATGTTGCCAAATCTTTCTGTGTAATTTTTTTTTTTTTTTTTGCTACATTCCTTTCGAGTACACAGCGATCTGTTTTTACTTTAAAAAAAAGTCAGAGAATTGCAGACTCATCCCTCAAACCTTGGCAACTCTAGTTGTCTGCCAAACCCATCACTTTGTTGTTCCCTATAGAGAGTTTGTGGCAAAATTCTGTATTTCTGCTGAAATTTTACCAAAGTTTCTTCCATTGCTGGCAAATTCCGCAAGTGCATATTTTAAAACTACGTAGGGCAAAAAATATCACAGTTTGTTTATAAAAACCACTGGATCTTTGAATACAAAAAAAGAACACGTACGAAAATGGTGACGTTGCTTGACTGAAGGATTGTTATTAGAATGGTTGCCTGAAAAATGGTTCTGCACACAGTTGCCAGAGTTTGGCACTTTGTGAAAATTTGGCAAATTCTATCAAGGTGGTTACAATAACATGTAAGCTCCTGAAAATATTTGTTATAATTTATTAAATATTATTGTAATTATGTATAATTATGCATCTAAATGGCACACATGGCATATAATGAAGCTTTAAATTATAATACCAGAGGTGATCATATTCCCAATACATCTGAAATCCTAGTTTTTTTTACTTTAGACCATTGTTCAGTAAGAGGTCAAACTTCTTGTCTCAGTAAACTAAGTTTTTCTGTACAGCAAAATTATTTTTGCAAACTATAAAAATGAAAATTAAAAATTTTTCCTGCAAATTATTTTTGCTGATTGTCTTCTAGAGAAACTGAAAAAACTCATATTATAAAGTTTTGGGCTCTAGTGTTAAGACTGAAAGAAGACAGAAAAGAGAAATATTCAATATTAACAAAGCTGATTATTTACATGGACCCATTGTTGAAAGTTTATTTAATTATATTAGTCATATTGGTGAGAATGGAAAACATCCTTGAACAGTGATAGCTTAGATGCTGTGCAAACTGAAATGTTAAACTATGCTAAATAAGCAAAAACTTTACTTTTTAATTTATCTTAATCCCCATATTAAAGTAGGAGAAAAGGACAACATACATATTTTATGTAGAGTTATGCTTACAATTTGAAAAAATAATTGCTACAAATTTGCCAAACCTGTATTGTTATTATATGTAAAACAGTTTAATATTTGTAACAGCTCTCCTAAATAATGATTTTGCCAATATTTTTAAGTCATAATCATAGATGAATTAATTTCTTTAACATTTTTTTAAATCCTTGTTGAAAAAGATGACTTTCATCTGATATTCATTTTCTCATTAACATCTGCATATTTATATTATTAAAAAGAATATTTTAAATTTTATAAATCTCTAGTTATAAATTTGCATTTAAGACTGATTATTAATGTTTTGTTTGGGTCATTGGTGATTTTTCTGGATGTTAATGTAATGGTTTTATTCTAAAAGTGTGAGTCATGAAATTCTTTCTGATTGATTAAATTATATCTTATGTAAGCCACATAAAAATTTTATAACAAACTATAAACTACTGTTGGGAACCTATAACCAGTTAAGGTATTATACAAAGGGGGAAAATAAGGTACTTTTCTTCAAATATTAATTATTTGTCATGTTATGAGTCATATGAAATATCTTGAATCATTATCTGACTTTTCTATTTTTTTAGAGAGATTGTGATGTTGGTATTAATACAAGAGTTTCACCCAAAACTGAAATTAGTATTTCTAGTCCAAATCTTAAGATAAACCTCAGGTAAATTCAATAAACAGAATTTTATTTTAAAAAGTATATGTATGTTTTGTGGTTAAAGGTTATAGTTTTGAAAAATACCTGCATTTATATTTGAAATCTCAAGTGTTTATGTGAATTATAAATTGCTCTTGATAATGCTTATTCGTGATTTTCATTCTTTAATTGAATCCTGAAATTTGCATATTTGGCAGATAAATACTATTATCTATGTATTTTCTAGATACAATTTTTTTTAGGAGGTGCTATATTTGTATTTCAGAAATATACAAGGTAACTGAAAAGGTTTGCCATTTTCGACAGTTAGAAAGAAAAAGTCAAAACAAAATAATAATTACCACTAATCCTCAAAGTAATCACCATCTGCATCCTGTGCCTTTTGCCAACAAGTGAGCTGTGGAATGCCGTTGCAGTAAGGAGTCTTGCATGCAAAGAAGTTCATGAAGGCCTTTTCGAGGTCTGGCCGTTTGTTGAAGGATTTCCCAAGAAGATGGTTGTCCAGGGAATGGAAAAGGTGGTAGTTTGTTAGCACAAAGTCTGGGGAGTATGGTGGATGGGGTAGTGTTTCCCAGCCCAGTCGTTGGACGATGTTCCTGGCCTCCCAAGCAACATGCGACCTCACATTGTCATGGAGGAGAAGTACATCCTTAGGATTGACCAATGCCGGCTCTTTGTGCATCAGTGCTTGATGCACACGTTCCAAGGCCTGCTGTGATGGTTTGGCCCACTGGTAGGAGTTCATAGCCACAATCTTGCATGGGTGGAGAGATCTCACAGGGTCCCATAGTGACAACCAATATCTGGAACACCTAGGTGTGTCATACTGGACCCACTTTTCATCGGTGGTGAGTATTCGATCAAATATGGATGCATTGTGGTGCTGAGTAAGCAGTGACAAACAGGCAGTGACACACTGTTACATGTTTGCATCGGACAGTGTGTGGGGTACCTACTTGCCAGCTTGTATGCCTTTCCTATGTGGTGTAAATGGATTCTGATAATTTCATCAGATACCTGGAAGTGTGCAGCAAACTCACCACATGTTTGGCTACTGTCACTCTCTATGGCTGCTCTTAGGGCCTAATCTTCCAGCACTTGTGGCCAGCTGCTGAGTGGTGGAATATCAGAAATCTTTAACTAAGAGACATATCCCCTGACCTGGACTTCTGGAACCATTGTCTAACGGTTCATTCTTTAACAGCATCATCTCCAAAGGCCTGGGAAAATCAGCGACTTGATTTTGCTGCTGACAGGCCCACTTTAAAATCATATGGCAAACAGCTCCGAACGAGTGCCTTTGACGCATTCATTTCAATCAATCAATGTATGACTTACGTTTGAAGTACTGATGCAACACTCTTTTATATTCTTGGTCAATGTCCAGATTTCCATTGTAACCACTTCATTGCCAGGTTTGGTGACTATTTTTATGTTGGTGTTCACTCTTCCAATGTCATGTCAGAAAAGGAAAGAACTTTTTTGGTTACCTTGTATTTCCGTAAGAGCTTATGTTATCTGATATTTCAAATGTATTTTGAAGTTCTGTTCCATTCTTTCGTATGTGGGAGATTGGGAATATGGTAATTCATTTTTCACAGTTTTTAATATTTTTCTGTGCTGCAAATTAATATTTTTAAACACAATTGATGCAATTACTGATGAATATTTTCATCACAAAGTGTGATATATTTTTAATAAATATTACTTTGTGTGAAAAAGGAGTAAATAAAAATGTTTCAATAAACTGCAAGTTTCTTTTCCCTTCCCCCCAAGGTTTCGTAAATTTCTATTTCAAGGCCTTGTTGATACTTTCTTTGCTGATGCTTGTTACCCGTAAAAATTTTTAAAAATTAATGTTTCATTATATTATCTATTGCAAGCTAATAAATAATATTTAGAAAAACAATGTGTCTCAAAATTGTTGTTTTTAAGTAAGAATAACGTAGGTCTTGCATTCTGCATAGATATTATAACCTCAATAAATTTGAAATAAAAATTATTATAAAAATATGAATTGAAACCTGGAAATCATAATAATAAAAATGAGTGAATTTTTTTAAAAAGGTGCTAACTATGATATATAGCTGGTATTTTCATTACTGTTTTAATCATATCACTTCTGTTATAATATATTATTTGACTGCTATATGACTGAAAAGTTAAACTTTTCATTCTCTTTGAGCCGCTTAATGACCAACTTTCCTTTTTGTTGAATTATTAAAAAGAGAGAGAGAGAGAGAGAGGAACCTTGCACAGGCTTTTGATAGTATATTAGAAATGCTCTTTCAAACTTTTGTCTGTCTTTCTTAATGCAGATCTTTAATTTCCATTGTTTAAAAACCAAATATTTTTACAAATTAAATTCCAGAGGTCGAATTTCCAGAAATTTACATTAATTTCAAAAAGTTTTCCCAGATGTTAATTTAATATTTGAAGATGAAGGTATATCTAGAAAATCAAGGGTATGTAGTAACCTTATACAGTCAAAAGTCATTAATCCGGACTCGTCGGGACTTCGGCGAATCCAGATTACCGATTTTACCGGATTATAGATCATCAGTTTAAATCTCGTAAGATGGCATGCAGAAATTCTAAAATTAAAAATATGAAACCGTAATTTATGAAATAAAGAACAATTATGATCTAAAGGGTATCAAAATTTACAAAAAAAAAAAAAAAAAAAAAAAAAAAAAAAACTTAATATTTATTTGTTTACTTTATTAAACATTTCTTTCAATGTAAGTTGTTTAAGTTGCTTCGTTTTTTGTGATAATACTTTCTTTTTTTAATTTCTATAAACAGACATAATTTCTTGTTTCAGTTACAAAGTTCCGCTGTTCAAGTCCTATAATTGCTGTGTGAGAATACCTAACTTGTCAATTGAAATTGTTTCGTTTCACGAACTCTCTGTCACCTTCTTCATGTCTTTATCCATTTTTTGCACTTTTTCTTTGATGGACATCGATACATACTTCGTTTTGTAGATCTTTTGGGAGCTCCAGCATCGGAAATTTTATTTGACATAATCGAAAATTCAAGTTTACTTTTATAAAATTGCTGTTACAGTCTGCAAAAAATAATAAGCCGCATCCAAATCGAAGATTAAGGAACAACGCAATCATCAACATTAACTGAAATAGATAATTATATAATTTTAGCTTATACCGTCCGTTATACATTAAATGCGCACGCGAAAACGTTTTCTGCGCTTGCGCACATGCATATACGCAGTCGTAAAGGTTTTACGCGCACACATAAACGCCTATGCACATGTGTCAAAGCGCCGCATGCGCAGAAAGTTTTTAGCTTTAAGGTCCGGATTATAGGTGTCCGAATTAACGACTTTTGACTGTATTAAAAACATTGCCATTATAACAGTTGCTTTAATTTTTCTATGAGTTTCAATGAATGTTTGTATGAGTGCTAGCTCATAGTTAGGTTTTCCCTTTGATAGATTGAAAAAGAAAATCGGTGTAATTTATCATAATATTGTTGCATAAATGGGTAAGTCCATTTGACTTTAAGGATCTTTGATTTAAACAGCTACTTTTGGTCTAATCGGTATATTTTCTGAATGTGATATTTGCATTTAATGTTGCAATTAAAAAAATTATGCAAACCTTTCTACTGAAAATCTTGTTTGTTTTACTCACTTAAAAGGACTAGCATTCTAAATGCAGGAATATTTGGTGCTGTAGTAAAACCGCATTTTTTATAATATATAAATTAATGTAAAACCAAATGGATACATAATTAATATCTAAGCACAGCATTGATAAACTTATAGTCATAATTTTAAACAAAAATCTCCAAAATATACTATTTGCTTTAAAACTAATTATGTATATAGGAAAGGAAACAAATTAACATATACACTGAATTAAATGGACAATAGAATAGATAAATGCCATGTGAACACTCAAAACACAGGGTTCGTACGGTCCTTAAGAGTCCTTAAGTTTTTTGGAATCGATTTTTGGTCCTTAAAAGTCCTTAATTTCGGCCAAAATCGTCAGAAGGTCCTTAATTTTAATCATCAGAAATTTCTGTCTGTTTTACGACTGCCATTTGAGTGTGAAATTAACATTTAGAGTAATTTTCGGCGATTGGTGAAAATATGGTTATCTTTAAATGGGTTCATGGATTATAATTGTTACTATTTCTAATATAAAGGTGGATACTCGAGTTTCTGGCGGAAAGAGCATGAGCATTTCAAAATTATTTTTTTTTCTAATGAAGAGCTAAACAACTTTGCTTTTGGGGGATGTTAATTCTTTATTAAACCCTTCTAAATTTTTGGCAACTTATCATATTTGGCGATTTAAGATCTTTTTATGGAAAATTTTTAATTCCGGATCTAGGATATTTTCGACAGTTTTTTTTAGAACATTGTAATTTCAGCCATTTATATATGTGGAAAATAACAAGGATAATGCTATAAAGCACCATTTATGAAACAGTTCTTAGCAAAAAGCAAACTGATATGTAATTAATTAAAAATGTATTTTTAATTTTTCATGGTAGAGCTTTTCCCATGTAATTGTCTGAGAATATTCGGATTCTCAAAATACATCAGTTTTCTCCAGTTAAATTTCGCCGGAGCAGGGCTAGGGCCAATTAAGCTGGAAGAACAAGAAAACATTATAGTTGAATGTTTTACTCTGATACAAGAATCGTTTTTAACATTTTAATCTCCCTTTATTTGTTACTTTTCACTAGACACAAACATAGAAAATATCAAAAATGCTTAAATCTTATCATGAACAGGCATTTATAGAAAGGAATTCTTTTATTAATAAGAGTTGAGAATTAAAATTTAAAAGATTCATCTAAATGTTTTGCTCACCAACGGGCTGGCCCTAGGCATTTTCCAATCTGCCAGTTTCTGGGATCGTAATTCTGCTTCCAAAATGCCTGTTCTAAGTTATAAAGTTTTGCCATTTCTGGAATTTATCCCGTTGTGTAGTAAAATGAGGCCACATCAGTATATAACGAAGCTTACAACAA